GGGGGGTGGGGGGGGTGGCGGGGGGAGAAGGGGAGAACACAGTGCTTTGCATCCTTGAGTCGGGGAGGATACAGCTTTGCATCCTTGGGGAGGGGGAGTATCGCCTCCACTTTGGATCCCTGTGCTCCCCCCCAACCGTATCCATGCGTAGGGGGGCTGGACGCTGTGCATCCTTGCGTGGGGAGGGGTCCCCCGTCACTTTGCCGATTTTCATGATGGGGGGAGACCCTCACTTCCCAGCTCTTCATGGAGGTTTTTGCCCATGCATGGGGCGGGGGTGTAAGGCTGCCTGCACCTCCCATCGGGAAGGAGTCCTAGAGCAGTCAGTGTGGGGGAGTCGAGGACTCTCTGCGTCCACACATGGAGTATGTGTGTGTGGGGGGGGGGGGGTGTCTCAGCCTCTTTGCACACCGCACGGCCGCGGGGGTGCTGTCACTTTGCATTCCTGCATGGAGAGGGAACCTGTGCGCTTTGCACCCTTGCATGGCAGGGAGGGGCCATCACTTTACATCCCTGCTGCAAGGCTCTACCAGTGCTTTCCATTTGCACACGGGGGGGGAGGGGGCACTGCTTGGCAGGATTGCTGGGGCCGGTGGCTGCCTGCACGTGTCCCTCTGCAGCTCAGAGCCCCTCCAGCACGCAGGCATGCATGTGCAGCGCTGGGCCTTGTGCTTCGTGATTCAGCGACTTGCAGAGCTTTCATAGCAGCTGAATGCTCGAGGTCTCGCTGCCGCCGTGCTGAAATCCCAATGGGTGCAGAACCACGGCCGCTTTCGGTGCAGTTCAGGATTGCTTGTCTATGGCTGCCTGGTGCCTGGCAACCCAAGCAGGGGAGTGCAGCACCTGGATGGATGGGTCAGCAGTAGGATGAATTCATCATTCATCCTCCAAACTTCAGTGTGTCTAAGCACAGCCCTCGTTTCTATGTTTCATTGCCTGGGTTTTAGAGGGGATAGCTAAGGAAAAAAAAGAAAAAAAAGGTGCTTAGATGGCATTTGGCATTCCTGCATTTCTTGAGCATCCTCAGCGGCAGGGAGCAGCTCAGTAGCGGGCAGAAGCAGCTTTGCATGGCAGGCAGGAGGTTAATGTGCTGTGCTGCTCAGCTACGAGCACAGTGCATGCCAAGGGCTCTTATGCAGTGATGCAACCAACTCCCCAAATGCCCACTGCCTTCCTTGGGATCTGCAGCCCGCGGAGAAACCCTGAGGTGAAGCGGACTTGCTCAGAGCTGCTGTTTGCTTCAGCCCCATGCTGAACCAAGGATGCTCGTCCTCCATTTTCTGGTAGATGACAAATCAGCTGTGCACGCCAAGATCTTGACAAGTTCTGAGCAACAGCCCTCAAGCCAAAAGGAAAAGAGAAAAAAGAAAAACAAAAAACAAAGAGGCCAGCATGCTTTTGCAGAGCTGCCTGTCACTGTTGCAGGGAAACGCGTCTCTGCCGGCTGTTCCCAAGCTGCGAGTGCCCAGGAAGAGCCCTGCTGCTCTCCCAGGCTGCCCCGTGCTGATCAAAGCGCTTCTGTGGTGCACAGAATGGGGGTTTGTTCAGCTGCGTCCTGCTGCACTGCTGGCGGGACATGGCCGGCCTGCTGGTAATGAGCCTGGCATAGAGAGGGGATGGCATTGAAGGCTTCTTTTGGTGATAGAGAGTCATTAAGAACAGCACGTGGTTCCTTTCCAGCAGGCTTCTTTCAGCCAAAGCATGCACGGGATTGCTGCTGCTCCCTGCCCCATCTCTGGCTCTCCCCTCTCCCTTCACTGCAAGGGTATCCACGCATTATTTTGGATTGGATCCAGAAAATCCACACCACCTAATCCCTAAGGAAAATAGCTGCATGAAAACCCACCTGCCAGTTGGTGTAGCTGTATGTATAGTTCAGGTCAAGCCATGTAGGAGCCTGTTTGCTGTTGAGCAACAGGGCTAGCTTTCCCCTAATCCCAAGGCAGCAGGCACTGCATATTCAGCATCCCCCCTAAAGAGCTTTTTGACCACTGCAAAGCCCAGCTCGGAGAGGTGCTTGCAAGTTAGAGGCAATTGAGTCCACTGCTGTTTCTGGAGCTGAGAGCTTTGCAGCAGAAGGTAAAAAAAAAAAAATAAAAAAAAAATAAAAAAATTAGCGTGGCATTTACTAACACAACTCTTAGGGAATATTTTTAGCCATGTTGTGTTGCACTTCACAGCTCAGCGCGGTGGCGGAGCCTCTCTCCTGCAGCTCGGTGGAGGCAGAGCCGCTGCAGTTGGCGCAGCGCAGGCGGAGGCTGCAGATGGGCCGTGGGGAAGGTGCAGGCAGCGCTCCTGTTGGGATGGAGGTGCTGGCCCTGAGCACGGGCAGCACCAGCTCCAGCTCCAGCCCAGCAGTGCAGCCCAGGCAGGCGGCCTCAGCTTGCGCTCCTCTTGGCTGCGGGTGCTGACCCTTCCCCTGGCTGTCCAGCAGGACCTCAGCCATGTGCATGGGAGTGAGCTCGTTCCAGCAGATTGGGATGGCTGCTGTTCAGTTCCTCACTGCTGAGACATCGCAGCTCGCTGTGCTGTGAGCCTCCAACCTCCCTGCGCTGATGGATTGGTGACCCGAGAGCAGCCTCCTGGGATTTGCCCTCCGGTATGTTTTGAGAAATGGGGATGCTGGAGACCCAGCCAGTTGCAGAGCGTTCAGTGAGCCTTTGGAAGAGTTCAGCTGTGCTATCAGCTCCACGTGAAGCGGTGATGCCTGTCGGGCTGGTAGCAATCGCAGTCACTCCAGCGATCAGCAGAGTAACAAGAGGTCACAGATGCATTTCCTAAACATGAGCAATGTGTCTTGGTGGTGAAGGAGCACTCCATTTTGTGTGCAGCATGGCAGTGGCTGCAGGGCTGGCTCCGGCAAGCAGGTTCTCTGTGCTACATCCCAACCAAGCAGCCATCTCATCACCTTCCTGATCTCACTCTCTCGATGTGTGTTTGCAGACCTCCTTGTCTCTGTACAAGCACTGTGGATTTGCCATACACTGCTCCCTTTGCTTTTCTCCTTGCTCTGCTGTTGGTGCCTGGCCAAGGCTCCTGCTGGGCTACACAGTCCCACTGCTGGCAGTGCCTAGGCAGTGCAGTTGGGTGAGATCTGACAACAGGGGCTATACAGACAGATAGAAGCACAGACAGACCCCAATCCAAGCTCAGCACAGGGGCACAGCACTGAGCTCTGTGAGAGCTTGGCATAGCTAGGGTCATGGCACACACCCCATCGCTTCCTAAATCTGTGCTCTCATCTCACACAATATGAAGTCAGGATCTAGTGCTCACCAAACTGTCTCATTGCCACCTGGAAGGCACTGAACATCACCTAGAGCATGCCTTCATCCAGCTCTGTTGGACCACCTGTACAGTCCCAGAGGGGTGGCTCACAGGGGACACCAAGGAGCCACCAGCCCAAGTCCCTTTGGCACACCGAGCCCAGAGGGCAATACCAAGCTTCACTAAGCTCCCGTCCCAGGATGGGCCCCAGGTGATGCTGCTGGGGGTCATGATGATCTGCCAGAGCCTGCCTAAACATGGCAGTCTGGTGCTTTAAGGCCTGCAGCTGCCCAAGTTCAGCTTTATGTGGGTGCCATCAGTGACTACTGTCAGTGCTCCTGGACCTCATGTGTCAGGAAATGCAGCCAGCACCCCTGGGGCAGCATCCTGTGCTGAGAACTGGTCTGCACCTCCCCTTTCCAGACGGCACAAGCAGCTCATTAAGTGCTTCCTCTCAGTTTGGGAAGTGCTGGAGGGGATGGACTCAGAAGGCAGAATAGCATCTGCTTTGTGCTGCTGGGAGCACAATCAACCTTTTTGGGAGCTCAGCACTAATGATTTAGATACAAGTTTTGCGCTGTTTTGTCAAGAGTTTGCATTTGCATTAGAAAACTCCCACCAAGCTGGGGTGCGGGTGGGGGGCTGGGGAGCATGGTGGGTGCTATCAATGGGAATCTGTTCTGCCAAGTACTGTTAGGGTCAAAAAAAGCGAGCTGTGCACATTTCTGGCCCTTGCCGTAGTCGGCGTTCCTGCTGCCTTATGGGTATGCCCAGCTCTTAGCATCCCATCCATCCTCCTCCTCCCTCCTCCCTCCTCCTTCCCAATCCTGCAGACAGCGAGCCGCCCCAGCCCTGGGGGATGTTGTGGAGAGCAGGGCAGGACATGGCAGCCCGCATCAGAGCTGTGTGTGTGCACAAATAAATCCCAGAGAGCTCTGCAGTTAGCTGGAAATAATGGAATTACAGGCACTCGCTTGCTCCCGTTTGGGTCAGGGGAGGTGTTCTGGGGCCAGCTGAAGGGCTGCATCTCACAGGGTTTGCTGCTGGTTTGAGCCACACTCTGTCATCGCCATTTCCTAGGTGGGTCCCCAGAGAGAAGAGCGGAAATGCAAATGGAAAAGGCTGTTTTGGGTTGTTTCTCCTTTTTTCTTCCTTTCCCAGGAGAGTGTGAGTGCCCACCAGCAGTATGCCACTGGTGAAGAGGAACATCGAGCCCCGGCACCTGTGCCGGGGGGCCCTGCCTGATGGGGTGACGAGTGAGCTGGAATGTGTCACCAACAGCACGCTGGCCGCCATCATCAAGCAGCTGGGCAGCCTCAGTGAGTCACAAGGGATGGGGATGGGGATGCTGTGACCCTGTGCCAGCACTGGGAATGGTTGAAGCGGTGTGATGCTGTGGTCACTGACCCTGGTTTGGTTCTGAGAGTTCCCAGTAGGGCGAGGTTTATCCAGATATTAAGAAGGGATGCTCTTGGGGGGAACATTTGCATGAAGCAGGAAAGGTAAATGAAAGAGACCCCAGCAAGCAGCATCAGCTGCAGTCTGGCGGAAGGCTGGGTGCCCAGGAGTGCTGTCATAGAGCCCATGGCACTTCCCTCCATGGACTGCCACCTTCCCAGCAGTGACATCTCAAGTGATACAACCATCACAAGCTCAGAAGAGTTGGGTTGGAAAGGGGGACGCACGGATATTTTAAGACTTGTTGTCCTCCCGTTGCCAGTCTTCTTGAGTTTTTGGTCAAATGATCTTTAATTTCTTGACTTGGCTGGAAATGAGAAGGTATTTAGATTCTTGTTAATGCAGAACACTGAGAGCCATGTGAATGCCCTAGGTGAAAGATAGTTCAGTATAAAAGTCCTCAGTCCTTCCTGTTTCAGGACTGATTCCAGCAGCAAAGGGAAGGACAAGAGCCCAGTGCATGTGAGCAGGAATAGTTAATAGGGGAAACCTATTTCACCGCTGAATATTGCCTTAAAATAGAAAGAGCAGTGTAGGCTCCCCAGGGCTCTCCACCTAGTGCCTTTTTCCCCCCTCCAAAACTAGATAATTTTCCAAAATACTCCCAGGAAGAGAAGATCTGTTTAGAGAGCTGCCAAAAGCAGCCTTGACGTGGAAGCCACTTGGTTGGGGTTTGTGGGGCAAACCCCAACCTGTACCTAGCAAGGATGGAATGTGCATTGCCAGACCTGGAGGGGACTCAGCTCAGGTCCCCAGAACACAGTGTACAGTTCTGACACTGCAAATAAAGCAGCATATGATGGGAGCATGTTTTCCCCCGGCAGGCCGGCATGCTGAGGACATCTTTGGGGAGCTGTTCAATGAGGCCAACAGCTTCTACATGAGGATGAACTCACTGCAGGAGAGGGTGGACCTGCTGGTCATCAAGGTGACGCAGCTGGACTCCACTGTGGAGGAAGGTGAGGGGCTGGCAGGTGGATAGCGTGGTTGTTTGGGGACTGCAAGGTGAGGCAAAGGGATAATCCCCCTCTCTCCACCGTGTCCCCAGTTTCGCTGCAGGACATCAATATGAGGAAGGCTTTCAAGAGCTCCACAGTGCAGAACCAACAGGTTGTGTCCCGCAACTCTATCCCCAACCCAGTGATGGAGATGTACCAGCGCTGCGACAAGCCTCCACCACTCAACATCCTCACGCCATACAGGTGGGGCAGCTGTCCCCTTGCTCTTCAGAGTGCTGGGGGGATGTCTGGGGCCTCTGGCAGGAGGGGTGCCAGGGGGGTGTGACCCCATTGTTTCTTGGTGAGGGCTGTCTTCCCCATGACTGTACCACCATAATTGCATGGGACAACTGAAACAGGTGACCTTGCACCACAGAATCATCTAGGTTGGAGAAGATCAGCAACTCCAACCATCAGCCTTGGAGATACTATAGCACTGGTGCTAATGTGTGGTGACGGTGCCCAGAGAGGTTCTGGTGCCTCCTCGTGGGGATTTTCAAAGGACTCTGGATGTGGACCTGGGCACCATGCTCTGGTGGCCCTGCTGGAGCAGGACCAGATGGGCCCAAAGGTTGTGTCCAACCTCAGCCACACCATGATTCTGTGACCCTGACCTACTGAGTCCCACCACTAAATCATATCCTTTTGTGCCATGTCCATAAGATCATAATGTGGTACTGCAGGTAATGATGTCTCCACCCTGATCATGTTTATGGGGCCCCAACAGCTTATTCTTTGACCATACCGAGCCTTCATATGCAGGGGAAGCGGTCTCTTTTCCGGGAACAAGTGCCCAAGGCATCAGCATTACTGCCCTCACATAATTCTGTGGAATGTGCCAATGCAGGGCTCAAGATGGGAAAGAGATGGATGCTGGCGGAAGGTGGTAGTCATGGGAAGGGCTGAAGGTTCCCTATCTGTGCACTGCCATTGCTAGCACTGAAATATTCTGGGGATTCTCCCTCCCTGTAGCTTACATCCCCCTTTTCTCCCTTCAGGGACGACAAGAAAGATGGCCTCAAATTCTACACCGACCCCTCCTATTTCTTCAACTTGTGGAAGGAGAAGATGCTGCAGGCAACAGAGGACAAAAGGAAGGAGAAACGCAGGCAGAAGGTAGCAGGCGCAGGGATGGCCTCAGGGCGATGCTCCATGGGCATCACCCACAGGGGCCATGGGACAGAGGCAGAGCTGCAGCTGTGTGTCCTCAGGAGCAGCGGCTGGTGGAGGACTCCACTCGGGAGGTGAAGAAAGTGCGGAAAGCCCGCAACCGGCGCCTGGAGTGGAACATGATGGCATACGATAAAGAGTTCCGACCCGATAACAGGTTCTCACCATCCCCATATCACATGGCATCATCGGAAGGATCACTGTCCCCAGATAATAGGCAGGTTTTACCTATTACACGTTCAGCTCACCGGGCTTCCTTTGCTTTTTGGCACTTCTGGTTTTTCTCTTTGCCATCCCTGGGCTAGCAGGCCAAGGGTGTTCGGGAAGGCGAGCCAATGAGCCATAGACCCATGTAGCTTCACGCGCAGCACAGTGATGCCCACCAGGGTCACATCCTGGACGTTGGTGGTGGGATAAAGTCCAAGCGGTTTAGGAGCTGAGGGAAGAGTCTGGTCCAGCTCCATTGGTGTTCTCCTCTCTGTGCTCTCTTGTCTGCCTCTATTTTGTGGTTTCCCTTGTGTTTCGTTGCCCTGACCTCAAGTACCCCAAACCAGTCCCTCGCCCAGCCCTTCCCCTCCCAGGCATGCGACCCTTTGGTTTTCCTGTCGCCATAGATCCTACACCTCAGATGCTGCTGAGCACTCATACCCGGCAAGCCCCAACCACCCGGCACAGCTGCTGGCCCCCACAGTCCACGTGCCCGCAGAACACAAGGAGGGGGTGCTGCCGACTGTCCCCCCTCCAGAACACGGCTACCGACCACCAGCGAGCAGCCGGCAGAACAGCCTCAACCGCGCCCAGCAGCCCCACGCGCCGCAGCCCCCGGAGGCCGTGCTGAACGGACCCAGACCGCACTTGGTCAAGGATTTCGGGTAGGGCTTCCATTCACGTCTCGGGAGACTCGGGGAGGCTTGCTGCCGCGCCTACGTTGCTGATGGGGTTTCTCCCCTTGCAGACCACAGCCCGTACCGATGACGGAGTACTTCGTGCCGCCGGCCCCTCCGCCCCCGCCGCCCGTCATCCCCTCCGCGCAGACTGCCTTCGACAGCCCCATGGCGGCTCCCGCAGCGCTGCCCCCCGGCGCGGCCGCCCCCGCCGCCCACCCCTCCTACGCGCCCTCGCCACCCCCTGCACCGCCCGGCCCCTACTCCGCTTCCCCGCCTCAGGCCGGCCCCATGGGGCCGCCCGTGGCCCCGCCGCCACCACCACCGGGGCCACCCGCTCTCACCACCTCGCCAGCGCACTCAGCCTCACCGCCGGCCCCCGCCGCCGAGTCCCGGAAGCCGCCGATCCCGCTGATGCCTATGAGCGATGCCCGGAGCGACCTGCTCGCAGCCATCCGCAGAGGTGAGATGTGGCAGGGGGGTCTGCCTCCCCTGCAGGGAGGGGACGGCCCAGGCAAAATGCTGTGGTCCAGAGTTGGGTGGTGTTGGCTTGTTGGAGATGCAGGCAAGCCCTGGGTGTTCAGGTGATGTACAAAGGTGGTGGAACCCAAACGAGACCTGCATAGAAGGATCCTGTATAATCAAAGAATTTTAGGATGTTATAATCACGAAATAAACAAGAGAGTTAGGCAAAGCGGACTATGACAACAAAAGAATAAATAGAAGGCTTACCCTTATCCTGAGCTCACTCACAAAACACCAGCAAAGGCAATCTCCAGAAGAGATCCTTCTCCACTGGTAGCCAGCTCTTAAATAGGTCTAGGAGGGGTGCAGCCTGGCTCCACCCCTTCTGGCAGCACAGTGAATTGCCTTCACCTGTGCTCCTCTGGCTGACTCATGGCTCACCTCAGGTGATCAATCAGAGGTTCAGGCCGTGACTCAGCAGTTCCCATACAATCCATATCCCAGGGGACACAGAGGGGAGGTTTTCAGAGGGATGGAGCATCTCTGCTATGAGATGGGAGAGCTGGGGTTGTTCAGCCTGGAAAAGGAGACCTGATAGAAACCTTCTTATGGCTAAAAGGGGATACAGGATGGGTGGGGAGGAATTATTTGTCAGAGGGAATAGTGAAAGGACAAGGGATAAACAGCTTTAAACTAGAAGAGTAAAGGCGTAGATCAAATACAAAGAAGAAATTCCTTATGATGAGAGTGGTGAGGCTCTAGCACTTCTGCCCAGAGAATGTGGGTTCCCCATTCCTGGAGGTGCTCAAGGTCAGGCTGAGTGGAGCCTGGGCAGCCTGTGCTGGAGGGGGAAAGCGTATAGTTGTACCATCAATAAGTATACAGATGTTAGGCTTAGTAAGATTATCATGGTGGAAAGATAATAGTAATAATAATAATAAAACGTTCACCAGTGTTGTAGGCTTGCAGTAAACTCCACAAGGAGCAATCTCCAGACAGAGATCCTTCCTTAGTGGCAGTCAGTCCTTAAATGGGATCTAGGAGAGGTGGAGCCAGGCTACGCTCCTTCCAAGTAGAATTGCCTTCGCCTGTGCTCCCGTGGCTGACTCATTGCTTGCCTCAGGTGGTCAGTCAGAGGTTCAGGCCGTGATCAACAGTTCCCATACAGACAGACAGCTCGTGACAGGGAGCTGTAGCTGGATGGGCTTTGAGGTCCTTTCCAACCCAACTCTTCTGAGCTTATGACGATTGTATGACTTAAGGTGTCACTGCTGGGGAGGTGGCAGTCCGTGGGTGGAAGTGCCTTGGGCTCTATGACAACACTCCTGGGCACCCAGCCTCCCGCCAGACTGCAGCTGGTGCTGCTTGCTGGGGTCTCCTTCATTTACCTTTCCTGCTTCATGCAGATGTTAAGGATAAATGCAAGATTTGGCCTCCAAGAAGCTTCAACCTCTGCAGGCTGTGTGTGTGCCAAGGAGGAAGGTTGTATCTTTGTAATCAGGTGCAGCCACCCCATTCCAGCCCATGCATTTAACCGGGGATGGCAGCTGGTAGGTGACAGTGCCCCTACAGCTCTCCCACCTTTCCTAACACAGGCATTCAACTTCGGAAAGTCCAGGAGCAGTGGGAGCAAGAGGCCAAGAAAGAGCCCGTGGGCAATGATGTGGCGACCATCCTGTCCCGCCGGATCGCGGTGGAGTACAGCGAGTCAGACGACGACTCCGAGCTGGATGATAACGAGTGGTCGGACTGAGGGGCCGTGCCGGGGGCTCCCCTGCAGCAGGTGCGTACGGCACTTCCCCCAAACCTGGATGCCAACAACCGCGATCAGCCCCGCTAATTCAGGAGCTTTGCTTTCACACCGTGTTGAAAACCATTCGGGCAGCGCTGGAGGCTGTGCACGGGTAGGAGGCAACTTTGAGGCAGCGAGGCCAGGAATTAGCAGCACCTCCACGCTTAACGATGCTGAAAATTCTCTGGCTGGGTGAATGGGAGTGCTCCACAACCAGAGGCTGGCTTTGGTAGAGGAACGAAACCAAGAGGCAGGAGAGCTTTTGCAGCTAGATGTTAAAACGTGTAATGGGGAGCTCTGGGAGGAAACCGAAGTGTTTGTGACCCTTGAGCCCACTCCCATCCTTGGGACAGATTTCTGGGAGAAAAGCATGAAGACAAGGCTCATGCAGCTGGCAGGGAACCAGCATATGTAGTGCAATGTATCCTGAGGGCAAGGGATGGAGAGCAGTGTCCCAAAGCCCTGCTATCCTTGGCCATAGTGCTGAACTATTACAGTATTATTTGAAGAAAAAAAAAAGAAAAAAAATGCTGCTCTTAGATAAACCCAAACCACTGAAACTGAGGGTGAGGTTTGGGCTCACTCTCTTGATTTGCACTTTGTATCCCCATGAACCCCACTGGTACAGTTGAGATCAACCCCATCCCAGGGCACCGTCCTGGTGCTGCCCTGTCCCTTGTCCCCGAAGCACGGTACGGGTGGGGAGTGCAGGAACGGGGCCCCCACCACTGTGCCAAAAATACTAGTTTGCTCACCAAAATAGAGCATGATTCATAGCAGCCTTTTCATGGAGCTATTAAAGGAGGATTTGCGGGAGGGCAGAGCAAATGGGTGTGAAATACTGAAAACATCCCAGTCAGAGGTACGGCTCTGCAGAGCTGCAAGAGGCTTCCAACCAGCAGTGTATGGGCCAGAACTAATGTGGACCCATCTGACATGGCCACATGGCCCTCTCTTGTATTCCCATACACCGCAAGCCCCAAATGAGGGAAAAAACTGAGATCCACTCAGGACAGCTCTTCTGGGGAGAAGTCAGACTTGGTGCCCACTTTCCCCAGAGCTGCACAGGGAGTACTCTGAGATTCTAGAAGCAAAGAGACCTGTAAAGCTGGTGAGAGGGCTGGCTGTGACCCCAAAAGCTCATAAGGGCTGATGCTTAAATCCACCCTGAGAACTGCTTATCTCAAAGCTTAAATCTCCCTGAGCATCTGGTTATTTCCCCCTGAAGAGAAACACCTCATGGTGGAACATGATGACCACAAGCCCCAGCCTATCTGCTAAGAAGTGTCATCACAAGCTCTTGCTGGTGCTGAGTAACACAAAATTGCCTCTGTCCCTTGGATGTGACATACCCCATTTCTCTGCATCCCATTGACTCCTTCCAGTGGGATTGGAGCAGCCCCTTTCCTCCCACCATTGCCCCGCGAGCATCACTGTGGTGCTGAGCAGGGTTTGGACTGGGTTCAGGAGAAGACCAGAGTGGCTGGGGAAGGATTTCAGGTGGGAAGTGAAATCTGTTGGTGCTGCTGATAGTTCTGCACCCTTCTCTGCCCTGCTGTGGTCCACAGCCCCGTGTTTGGCCCCCCCTCTCCTTCAAGGCAGCTCTCCTTGGCTTTAACACCACTGAAGGAGCTGCACAGAAGGTCCTTGGGCTTTTGGACCCATCCTGGTGTCCCCACTGGTTGGGAGCCACCCTCGTGCCCACAGTGGGATTTCCTTGTCAGGAAGGTTGGGGTGTGACATTTAACAATTCAGAAGTAGATCTTGTATTAAAAAAAAAAAATCAGAGTAACATTTAGACAGTCACCTGTCAGTACTTATTGCGGAACATTGTTAACATAGATGCACTTGTGATACTGTTCATATGCGAAAAAGTTTGGTTATTTGGTAATTTAGGAAGAGTCACAGCCTCACATGAGAGGCTGCCATTCCTGTCAGGGTGTTCATGGGGCTGTAGGGTCAGCTGTAGTGCTGACCTGTTCTGGGGTAGAGCCAGGGCACCCTACCAGTGCATGGGGAAGGGGCTCAGAGATACATGGGGATGGCTCAGCCTTTCGGTCAGTGGCTGCCTCCACGGTGGGAAGTGGGGCTCAGTGCCCCTGCAAGGCTGGGTCTCTTTTTGTGCTCTGGTTGTGCTTTGCTACATGAAAGCATGTGATGACTCTGGTAGGACTTGCTGTGGTTGCACATTATGGGTGAGAGTGACCCCAGCAGGCTCATGTTCTCATCATCTCATGGTGACCCCATAGTGACTTCAGGTTGGCAGCCATCAGCCCGTGCTGTTATCAGGGTTGATGCCATTGCATGGCAAAGCACTTGACAATCACACACGCAACCTTGCTTACTCTGCACGTGGGTCACATTGGCAGAGGACCCAAGGTGACCCTGCCTCGTGGTGGCAGGGAGCAGGGCTTGCCCCCATTTCCCTGCACCTTCATGTTCCTATACCATCCTCACCATTGCCACATCACCCCAAGGGATTCCAGTCCCTTCCACATCCCCAACTCCAAAGCAAGGCAGTAGGACCATTAGCCTCCCAGCATCGCTGTTGCTAGAAGCCAACACAGCCCAGCTCTTGTAAGGGCTGAGTCTGCCTTGGCTGTGCTGGAGCTGTCTTGGTAGGACAGATGGGCTGATCCACAGGTAGCCTCCCAGTGAGGTGCTGTGTTAGAGCCCTCTGCTCAGGTTTCTTATGCAGTCAGTAAACAAGTAGCCTGTATAGTCAGTGCAAGCTGTGGGCACCTATTTCTGGTCTGATTGCAGTGTCCCTCACGCTCCCCAGCTCTCTCCTGGCAGCATCACAAGGCAGATGGGCAGCACCTGATGGCACCAGGAGCCCCAGTATCATTCAGCAATCGCTCCTGCAAGGTCAGCTCTGCTGGCAGAGCAGTGTCCTCAATGCCTTTGCTTGAGGGTCTCAGCCACCTCTGAGGACGACCGTCTTTATTCCAGGCGTACACCAATATTTTTTGACCTGGTCACCTCTGAAATCCAGCACAAGCTCTTTGGTGGGTCTGGGCCAGGCTAGCGCGGCAGGAGTTGGTTGTGCCGAGCTAATTAATGCTGGCTGGCTGACCCATATGCTGCACACTCAGTATTTTGTACATATGTGCCTATTTCTGTATACACCAAAAGTAGGCCACCCTGCATTATACAACCTGAAATGCTCAAGTCCCCATGTGGGCTGATATAAAAGTGAATATTTAAATATTTTATCTAGCTTGGCAGCTATTAAAAATACAATCCAGGTCACAGATGATTGAATTCCTCCTGTCTCTCAAGTGTACCAAAAGTGGATAGGGGAGATTCCCCTGCATATTTAGGTATTGTGTTCCATGTTAAAACATACTAGTGACATTTCATTGCCAGCAAATAATCACAGAGTGCCAAACATTTAATGAGCCCAACCTGTCTCCTGAGGTTCCCCTTGCCATTTTATCTGCCTTCTCCTCCTTGCCAATTTATGGGCATAGATTAAAAATAATAAGCAAAATATTGCCAGCAGGGGGAAGCATATTCTGTGTGCATATGAATGAACTAGGCTTGAGTCATCCAAGGAGAAAATAAGCTGGTTTGGCTCTGCTCAGAGATGTAACAGGAGGCTCTAGTGCCTGAGGCCCTTCAGGAACCTCTTGGGTATCTCCAGTTGACATGGAAGGGGACATTAGGAGAGCACTGTGCCCATGGGCTGTGCAGGCTGGTCTGACTGATGTCTGATGAAGGTTGTGGAAGTCAGGTAGGGTTCACAATCTGATCTTGCACCCAGCTTCTCCTCAGTCTTGGAGGAGCCTTGGACCCAGTAAGTGATGCTGGCAACTTTTAGAGGATCAATGTCCTGAAAGAATAAAAAGGCATTGGGTGGTTCTCCACCCTAGACAGACACCTAGGGGGAGTGAGCATCACACCCTGCGAGGGCTCCTGCGCTGGCGGTCATTTCATCCCACGAAGGCTATGGTCTGATGGGAAGCATAAGGCTGAGCACAGCTTCTCCAAGGAGCTCCCTACTTATAAGAGGCTTCAAATTCCCTCCTTGCAACTTTGTCATCTGTATCTCCTTTTCAAGACACAAGCTTGGGAGACCCCCCTGGGAACAGAACCTGAATCAACACCTTCCTTGTAATGACCGAGGGAAGCCCCACACAGAGGAAGACAGGTTGGAGATCCTTGTTTGGAGGGTGCTTCTTCAAAGAAGCCACAGCCCTGAGGATGGAGCATGGAGGGCCACGGGAAGCTCTCCCCATCTGCTCCCACCATACTGGCACAGGGAGCACAGACTGTCCTTCTCACCACCCCCTGTTGTCCTGTAGTAGTTGTTGTTATTTAGGGTTAAGAGTTTCTAGGCTGGCACATCATTTCACAGAAAAAAAATAAAAGTAAGGACAAGGGCTCCGTCCTGAGGAGCTTACAGTTTACAGTAAAGACCATATGACCTGCACTGCACTTTAGAAGCCACAAATGCTCATTCACTCACATACCCATGAATTTACCCTCCCGACTGGGCAGCAGCACCTCAAGGACCACCGTCCCTTTCCCCAACTGATCCCGTAACCAACACCACAACCGCATCCCCCTGCTGATGGCAGGGCTCTCTGTCCTTCCACCATCCCCACGCAGAAGTGCCTGAGCAAAGCATGGGAGCAGTGAGACATGCTGATCTTGTCTTCATATGGGCAGCCATCCCAGGACTCTATTCTGCTCTGGGATGACCGTGCACATGGTAGGGAATGCACCCAGCAGCGCTGGCATGGCTACATGTTGGCACTTAGAGCTGCCCATGCAATTCATGTGATGCCCCCAAGCTCATAGATGTCCTCCTCCAGGCATTTTTATTTAACCCTAGTCTTTAAAATATTTCAATCTTTGAGAGCCAGAAGGGTTTTCCCCTTGTGTCCTTTGTATGTGTGTGCATGTACACGTGTGAATCCAACCTTTCAACAAACCTCAATTTCCTAGACCCACTCATGCAGGCTTTACTTTCTCCAGGTGAGAATCACACATGGATTTTGCTGAGAAGGGGGAGAAGCGTCATGGGATTCAGTGGATGTTCATCCCAAAGCCCTCAGTACCACTCACAGACTGGTTAGGACATGAAATGGAATGGGCCCAAAGCAGGGTTTCCCTTGCTGGAGCATTGCTTGCAGGTGGGACATGTCGGCTGTGGCATCCCCTGCAAGCAGTGTTAGTGTAACATCAGTATTAGTCTCTGTCCATGCTGATACAGGGTCCTGAGGCCACTGACTGCTCCATAACACTATATTATAGCAGGTTACAGATCTTTCACCTTCCCCTTCCCACCTCTCTCCTGCCAAATATTGTCTCACAAGTGCCATCCTTCAGACCAGCACCCAGACGTCCCTCTATAGTCTTTCCCATTTAGTGAGAACGTGCTTAAAACTGTTGCTGGCATTCTGTTTGGGTTGTGAACCCAGGTGTTGGTGAAGCAAGCCTTCCCCCCCACTCCTGTGGTG